AGAGTAAAAAATGCAAATAAAAAATGAAAAACGACTAAAAGTCATTTTTTATTTCTCTTCTATTTTACACTAAATTAAAAAATTATTTTTATTTCCGTTTTTATCTTTAATTGTGTCAAATGTCATTTTTCTCTGGTTTTTATTTTTTTTTCTCAAAAAACGTGAAAAACAAAAACTACTCCAAACACAGCCAGAGTTTTCTTTCTTGTTTTTTTAAAGGACTCATTCGTTTTGCAGATTTGAATTAAAAATTTAAGTTTAAAAATAAATTTATGTGAGAAAAAATAATAAAATAAAAATGTTGAATTTAAATTTTGGCAAGAGAAAAAAATATAATAAAAAAGTTAAATTTAAACTTTTATAAGAAAAAAATTGTAAAAAAAAATTAGTTGTGATTCAAATTATGAAACAAATGGAAACTTTATAAACCAAACAAAAGAAGAATAACGATTGAGCCGCAAATAAAAAGAATCGACTATAGACGATCAAAGATTGAATAATATATATATATATATATATATTTACATATATATTTAATTAGAAACTTTGAACCACTCATCTAAGTTACAGTCATTACCACCTATAGATTGTAGTAATAAGAATATTTTTCTTTCTTCTCCATGCAGCCAGGGTTCGACCCTCACAGCTCCACTTTAGACTCTTGTCTGGCCAACGATGATTCAGGGTTTCTCAATAGGAGCACATGTCTCCACTAGCCTTTCTGCAAAAGAGAGGGGGGGGTGGAAACAGTTACACAAGTCATTAATCTTTGTCTATTTTGAAAAAGTTATGAGCTACCTCTTTTCAACTCCAAGGAAAGCCATGCAAACTTGCAAGGCATATACACAAACCAGCAAACTGCAAGAAAGTCTCAACAAAATAGAGCTTTGCATACAGCTTGTTTAGAGCATTCGTATAATAATCCAGTTAATTCCCATATAATTTTGTCTCACTCTATTAAGAGAGCTGGATCCACTGTCACACATATGGCCAAAGTCTCTCTCGTAGAAAGTGTTGAGATTGCCACTTTTTCACTCAAAAATGTCCAAGGAGACTTTTTATCACTAAGAAACTGCATATTGAAAAATAACCCTACCTTTTTTAGAACACAACGAAATTAGGTTTTAAGATTTTTCATATGTTCTTTGTCGAACTCATGACGTTATATATTACCATTTATATAATTGAAAACATACAGAATGACAAAATAATTTTACGGATATTGATCAAAATTCCAACCAACTGATTTTTCTTCCTACTCTCTTTATCTTTTTGAGTTAAACTGATTTGTTTGCACTTTTGTAAATTTGAAAATAACGATGTTGAATCTTTTCTAGAATCACAATCTTAACTCTTATAATAGAAGATTTTTGGTCTTGATTTCTCTACGATCTACAATATTCACATGAAACCAAAGAGCAATCCCAAAGAAGTTTCTCAAACTCTCAAAGTGTATTATTTACAAAATTTCGAAATTATTTTCCTTACAAAATGTCCCTAGCAAAAACAATTTGCCCAAGTACTACAAGAGAGAAAAATGAGTTTTTTTTTTTTTTTTTTTCTTGTAAGACTCGCACCAATTTAATGGAATGGCGGGAGTACTTCCAGCCAATCTTTCCCCCCATAATCATATGACTTACGTCATGAAAAAATTCAAACGATGATTTTTCTTACGAAATTTATGAAAGTGCCTCAATAATAATCACTATTACTTATATGCAAATTACTGTGCCTATAATATAGTTTTACAAGGAAAACTTTTTTTTTTTGGTAATCTTTTAATAAATATATCAATAAACCTTAATCTTTGTATTCGAAAAATCACAAGTTACTTTTCTAGTCATGATTTGCATGAAACCCGGGTAGTACTCATGAAGATTTGATCAAAGAGGACACATATTGGAGGCACTCCATTGGGCCTACTACCAAATGCACATGCCAACTATTTCACCAGGAGAAAGAGGAAAATAGGCCAAGACTTGATATGAATTAAAATTAATAAGTCAATAGTTTACATAAGTTAATAAATAGACCAAATTACTGTTTTTGTTCATAACTTGTCTGATTATGAACCATAACTTAACAAGTTATTGTTCATAATTTACGGTTTTTGTCCATAACTTGTCTGACTATGAACCATGACTTGACAAGTTTGTCTATAACTTATCTGGTTATGAACCATAACTTAACAAGTTATGGCATATTAATTTCTATAACTAAAAGTTGGCCTATATACTTTCTTAAGCTTTTCATATTGGCATATTTCCTACTATTTCCCCCTATTTCACTTAGAAATATAAAACCAATCACGTGAGCTAACGACCAACCTCGATGATATACGTACCTTGTTGTTTAGAGCATCATAGTACTATATCTATATAGATGAGGGTTCTCTTATCGGGAGTGTGTTTCTGACCGTTAAATCTAATCAAAATCACATTAAATAAGAATAGACAATTTCTGATTAAGATCTATAATTAAAAATAAGAATTACTAATAGTTGTTTTTTTTTTTCAAGATTTATCGTAAAACCTCCTATCATATAAAGCTGGTTATATTTAGGGCATAGATAATCTTTTGTCATAGCGAGCTCACTTCTTCTATTATGTAATTCTTGCTTGATATAGATGGCCTTTTCTAGAGAAGTATTAAGGAAATCAAATAATGTTGAAGTACAACTCAAAACCAACTCTCCTTCTAAATCATATGTTACATGAAACATATACAATCAAAGGGCCCGCCTGCTAATAGCTTACGGTATAAACATGGGAGAAAGAGAAAAATATGTCAAGATTTGAGATGAATTAAATTCAAATTCAAATTCTCGGAGATTTTAATTTCAAATTCTTGTGCACTCTAATTTTTCACTTTTTACGAGCTATACGTGTTAACTGAGTTTAATTTACTATGTTTCTGATGGAGTTATAAGACGGTATTACCTAGTTATATATATAACATGTGATGAGTAAAAAAACACGTACAAGATAGACAAGAAGGGATGGGTTACAGCGAAGACTTTGGAACTGAGCTTGGTGCTCTTTTTTTTAAGCACATGTTGAGGGCATAGAAGGCACATGGCAATGCCCAAAGTCCTCAATCAATTATCACATTCCATTATTTTGCTTTCCCATTAATTTGTCCATATTCCCTACTGCTCCATAAATTTTCTTTGCTTAGTCCTCAAAGGATTTTGTCACATCCCTTGGACTTCATGCTCCAACTGTGTGGCACTTGTTTTGAAGCATTTATATATGTGAGTTTTGTTTTTGTGCACTCTTTTTTTTTTTATAGTAAAGTTTTCGTGTGTTTGTGGAACTTCCTATAAGTATTATATTTTGTCTTTTGAGATTTTACTGGGTCCGGTCTCACGCTCGTAGTACACGTTTTTAATCTTTAAATCTAATTAAATCACATTAAAATGAAAAAAAAAATAGTGAAATAGCCAATTTATGATATAAATTCGACGACTGAAGATCAGAAACCTACTAATCTTTTGAAGTCCTACTATATAAATCTTGTATTTTTTTTTTTTTTTTTGGATGAGGGGGTTTTTTTTCCCTTTTGGTTTTTTTTTTTTTTTTTTTTTTTTTTAAATTTGCCCTTTTGGTTTTTGGAATTGAAAGATTGAAAAGTTTGATGTCACATGCCAACCTTTTTCTGTTTATTTGGGCCCTACAAGCTACAACTACCCATGTTACTAGCAGCACTTGTATAGTTCGTGGTATCTTTGGTAAAATACTGGTGAGCCCATTCAATTTTGTTATTTTTGTGAACATAGATTTGTTGTACGTGGTTTCTATCAAGGGTCTGTTTTGTCACTATTTATTATTCAATTTAACATTTGTATGTACACTTACAAATCCAATCATCTATTAACATCAAACGATCTAGTCATATATAGAATATGATTGAATCAGTTGCATTAATCGATTTGAAAGAAAAAAAAAGATTTAGAACTTGTTTTGATTTGAGATAACAGAATATCAAGTTTGATTTTTTTAGGGGGTAATTTTGTTTAGTTAAGTTGATTAGCTAAAAAATATATATATTTGTTTTGTTAAGGCGTCTAATAAATAGGTAACATAATGTTTTGTGTTCATTTTTTTTTTTTTTTTTCATAAATAAAGAACATATTTGAACCAAAAAAAAAAGTATATGTAAATACCGTATTATAAATTAGTATATAATTTCAATTAATGAGCTCGGTTTTTATTGGATGTTCCAATTCTTTATCCACCAGATTGTCTAATTTACTTGGATTCCATCCAATAGTATCTTATCTGATTTGTGTCAGTTGAATTTAATTAGAGCACGCTTATTATTCTTTATGAGATTAAAATTCCACTATTTATATAAAGTGGGTCTCATTAAATGGATAAATTAACTGATACATATTGAACTTATCGTCATTTGTATGTTACATTCTAAGCTTTTGATATGGACATTTAGGACCTTAAATTTTATAATCATTGACAATACAATCTAATTAATAATGAAGAGTTTTGGGTGTACTTGTGTAAAAATCTTATACAATTTTTGTCCCATATTTTTAAAATCAAAATATTATTTATCAAAATTAAATGCTCTGAGACCATATTACCAAAGCTAACAAGTTCTAAGAACACTAATGCAATGTTAACACCATAAGTTATATAAAAGGACATTTTGGGAAAATGATCTCAACATGGATCATGGCCCCCTACTTTTTCCTGAAACTAGTACATGGTAAATAGACTACTCAGGCCTCGTTCATTTTGCAAATTTAAGTTTTCAATTCGAGTTGAGATGTGACATTTTCTGAGAATTTTTTACTGTAGCAGAAAAAGTTAGATGTGACATTTTCTGAGAGTTTTTTACTGTAAAAATCTAAAACTGAAAACTCGAATCGGTGAAATAAACGATACCTCAATGATTCCATGTTGTCCACAGCACATACTCTAAGAAACATATATTTATAGCTGACATTGTCTTTGCACTCTTGAATCAAGCCCCAAGCTACACACAGCCAACTAAAACAAATCCTCTTATCTCTCTCTCTCTCTCTCTCTCTCTCTCTCTAAATTAAGAGTTGGGTTTGCTTGCTAGCAATAACTATGGCTAAGCTTCTCTGTGTTATGCTTCTAGCACTCCTTGCCATTTCCATGGTTGCGACTCAGGCAAGTTTTCTCCTCCAATCCGTTTTTACCGCCGAAAATTCGACATCGAAAAAAATCGCCTTTTTTTTTTTCCCTCCTAGTATATAGTGTCTGAATTTAGCCATGGCTAGTCTCTTCTTGATGAGCTAATCAAGTTTGCTTCTTTATAGGTTTGGGCAAAAGAAGCAGAATACCATCTAGAGAGTGTAAGTTCTTTGTTTCTTTTTCTGTACACACAAGTGAGAGTGAATTTCTTATGTGTTGATCAATCATCTAATTTATCTGATTTTTAAGTACTATCTTTCGTCAACAGGGGAAATATGGACCTGGAAGTCTTAAGAGCTACCGTAAGTAATCATTATTCTATCACTTCATCAAGCCCTTAATTGTCTCTCTAGTTACTCAATTAATCCTGTTTTGCACCATATGTGCCTTAATTGTCAGTCAATTGCTGCTTTTCTTAGCAATTATTACAATTCACCATGCGTGATTAAAACACGAGAGCGGGAGCTTTGAACTTCACACCTCCGGTTACAGTGGGGTGTGCATTTTCCGCTAGGCTGGTCTACGACCACTAATATACCACTTTTTATGTGACAACAAAATGATGTACATAATTTGTTACACTAATGTACCGTTATTATTTATTTTTTTTTTTTTTCAAAAAATGAAAATCGGGCATGATTGAAATGTTTCTAGTTACTTATTATTTAATATTTGATTTTTTTTTTTTTTTTTTTTTGGAATTGGGTGGAACAGAATGCCCATCAGAATGCACAAGGAGATGCAGCAAGACACAATACCACAAGCCATGCATGTTCTTCTGCCAAAAATGCTGCAACAAGTGCCTTTGTGTTCCTCCTGGCTTTTATGGCAACAAAGCTGTGTGCCCCTGCTACAACAACTGGAAGACCAAGAGAGGAGGACCAAAATGCCCTTGAACTACTATATATATATATATATATATATTCCTATTAATACTGGGGTTTTATCCTAATTTACCATTAATTAACACTAAGTGTTAATCTTATTATTTGCTTTATCTGGCATATCCTATTTGTTTTTTTTTTTTTTTTTGTCTCCCCTTTTGTGGCCTAAGTTTTTGAAGAAAATTGGAGATTGTACTCAACTAATATATAAGGTATCCTATTTATGTCATGCAAATGGGTCGGCTTAAAATGATGCTTAAGCGGAAAGAAACTATTCAATGTCTTTGGAGTGCAAAAGGATTACCTCTCTATACAATTTTCAACGGGACAAAACTATTACCTCACGAATCCAATGCTACTTTTCACTTGGCTTAAGTCTAATGGTTTAAATTTAATCCATTTGACTTATTTATCTTCTCACGCCTCACACTTTTACACAAATTACTAGCAATATCATGAAACAAATTTTGCGATCTAAGTGAGATAATCATAATTAAACCAAACTATATATATGTATATACATATACTGACACTTAAATCTCATTTCTACACACACATAACATTCATCTTAAATTTAGCTAATAAATCTGATTTGCACTTTTTTCCTTTTTTTTTTTTTAGAAATATTGTCGAGTTTGGAATTGTTCTTATTTTTATTTTTCACATTTTAAGAGAAACAAAAATGAAAACGATTTTAAAATGGCATTTGGCACAATTAAAGATAAAAATGAAAATGAAAACGATATTTTCTTTTAGTGTAAAATGAGAGAGAAATGAAAAATGACTTTTAATCATTTTTCATTTTTTATTTTCGTTTTCTCCTCTCTCGAGCAGAGAAATAGACATTAATTGGTTTTTTTATACTGAAAACAATCTCTTGACAAAACTACGAAATGTATTTTTAAAAATAATTTCTGTCTGAGATTGAAAACGTTTTCATTTTCATTTTCATACAAAAATAAAATCATTTTGGTACGAGTTCTAAACGCACCCATTGTATCAAAATATTTTTTCCTTAATTTTATCTTTTAAACGAGAGAGAATGATAGCTTTACACTTTTTTTTGCACTTCAACTTTTTGATAGCTACCTTGGATTTTTTTTTTTTTTTTTTTGAAGAAAAATCCTGTGTTTTTAGACCTTTCTCATTAAAACCTTTTTTTCCCTAATTTATATTATTTTTCTCAAAGATACCCCTATTCAAATATTTTGCTTGCTTTTATTTTTTTTTAGAATTTATTCTTTTTCATTTCCACGGATATTTGAACTTGTAAATCTTTTTACTCTATACTATATGTACATGAGAACATGCATTTGTTTAGTCAACCTTTTTTTGTTGATTTTTATTCAATCAATATTGTTTTTTATATATAATTTCATTTTTTTTTCTAATACATGCCTACACTACTATTATAAAAGTTTATGATCTTATTTTCAGTTTAAAATAATTATAGGTTAGTTAAATGACTATACATGTTCAAGTTTAACTTAAATTATATTTTAATTTTACATTTTTATTTGTGTATTCTCATAATAAAAAACAACTAGAACGAATAATTAGAAAACATTGTCAACAATACTTATAATTTTGAATCAAACTTACAAAAAAAAAAAAGGTATAAAAGTAAAAATAAACTTATTAGGCACGTCCCTCATACTGCGTCAAATCTTTACTGTCTGTTGGTGTAGTCAGGATTTGGCCGATGTTTATGCTTAGGAGTAGGCTTTCCTCGGCCATTTTTGGACACTTACTTTTGGCCAAAGGAGATATATACTTCCTTGAGTGTTTGAATTTTTACTTTCTACTCTTAATTAATATCTTTTTTAGTCAAATAATTATATTAATTAAAAGAATATTAATTAAAAATAAAGAGTAAAAATTCATATTTATACACTCTAATGAGACGTTCAACAATTTTTTCTCTCTTTTCGGCCTTAATATTGGTTAGTAGACACCGTGTTAGTCCATAATGTAACTGAAACACAAATTGTCTCCTTTCTCACGTATAAGTTTAGCCCAAAAATGGGGTAAATTAGAGGAATACCGCTTCTAGACAGAGATGACAACAGGATGTGTGGGTTCTAAGGAACGGTTTCCCATCCCCATTCGTACCCCCAAAAATCATCTCTATCCTCATCCATCCCTACTCACCTGAGAAAAAACGGATCGGGATTAGGATCAGAAATTTCTTGTTTGGTATTCTCTAGACCTACCACATTTCTCATCTAGTACAACTGCATAAGGTCTCATAAAACATTAAAAAAAAAAATGTGTGAACTAAAGCACTAAAAAGATATTTACAACATATATATATTTATTAGGCAGAGGAGGGGCGAGAACTGCTTTCCCCGTCTCCTTCCCACCCCAATTCAAGAACAACACTCTTCATTCGTGCTTCGTCCCTGCCCTATTTGAGTGGATCCCTATGCATTCCCAACCTGGCAGAGAATATTGCAATCCCATATTTTAGAGAGTTGGAACTCAAATATATCAATTTTCCGAAAATTTTAATCATTATTTTTTCATATTAAAAAGGAAAAAAGAAAAACTAGATTTCTTTTCTTCAAAAAAGAAAAAAGCAAGAAAAAACTAGATTTAAAAATGGGGAATTGTAGGAAATAGGCTAAAATTTAAAAGTTATGGAGGTAAATTGACTAATTTACCAACTTATAAAAATTAATAGGCCATTTTGTATTTTGTATTTTTCATTTTCAAATTCACCATTTTCTTCTATGGATCATAACTTGTCAGACTATGACTGGTGCCAATGACTGGAGGCCGACATAATTAGTCATGTTATGGATCATAACCTGATAAACTATAGCCGGCGCCGGCAACCCATGACCAGCGTAATCTATTAGATTGTGGATCATAACTTGATAGACTATGGTCGGGGCCGGTGTAATCTGTCAAGTTATAGATCATAACCCAATAGATTATGGCCCGCAGCCGGTGTAATCTGTCAAGTTATGGATAATAACTTATTAGGTTATGGTCGGCAGCCAGCCGGAGACCGACCAACGGTCGGTGTAATCTGTCAAGTTATGGATCATAACATGTCAAGTTATGGTCGGCGGTAAGTGTAACTTGTCAGGTTATGGATCATAACTTGTCGGGTTATGGCCGGAGGCAGGTGTAATATAAGTGTCAGCTTTTTTATTATTTTTTCCTTTTATGTTGAATATTCTCTCTTCTCTCTTTCTCTCTCTAGTATTCGTCTTCTCTCTCTCCGGTCTCTCCCTGTCAATCTCTCTCTCTCTCTCTCTCTCTCTCTCTCTCTCTCTCCTGAACTCCCCTCCTTCTGACGACCTTTTCTTTCCCCCACTCTCTCTCTCTCTCTCTCTCTCCTCTGGTTCTCTCGTCTCTCTCTGATATCTCCTCCATCGACCTCTTTCTAACTCTCTCTTCAACCTGCGACGAGGCTTCTCGCCGTTGAAGATCTAGACGCTCTCTCATCGGAACAATCTTTGTCACGAGAGATGGCACGGTCGAAGTGAACGACGAGTGGTAGGATCGACAGCGCAGCGGCTAGGGATGATAGAATCGCTGACGGAGAAGGCGAACCCGTACATCGGAGAAGACAAACTCGATACTTTTCATCGTTGCGAGACCATCAGTCGTCGATCGCCGTTGCGAGGAATCACAATCATGAGGCATCGTGGTACATATTAGTAGTTGAAGAGAGAGAAGGGAAGAGAGAGAGTGAGAGAGTAAGATGAGAGAGAGAGAAAGCATGGATTGGTTTTTTAAAGAGAGAGAGAGAGGGAGGAAAGAGAAGAGAATGAGTATTAAGATTTGTTTTGGCACGAGAAAGAAAAAATAAAAAGTGTGAATATGTTGTACTTAATTAAGAGCAGTGTTACTATACTCGAGACGGAGGTATTTTTAGTCAAGTTGGTGGTGACCAAGCATAGGCGAGCCAAAGCATAGCATGGCACTTGGGCGACTGAGCATGACAACATGCGAGGATGGCATAGGCGCGGGCCTAGCATGCGAACAAGGCAAGACAAGGCGTACTTAGTCATGGGCACGTGATGACAACATGATGCCTGAGGGAGGCAGGCGGCATTGGACGTGGATGGGCACGGATCTCAGACACGCATGGGCCACGCACGGGCATGGACAGCCGAGCAACTGATGGGTGAGATATTCAGAGTTGTAAGAGTGATGTAGCGCGGATAGACTGCCTATGTCCGCGGAAAGTTGGCATAGGTGTGCCCATGAGCTAGATTGCGTGGACAAGGCCGAACATGGTCGAGATAGGTGGATATATAAATCTGAATTTGCACTTAAATGACCTATATACTAACATTATTTAAACCTTAACCTATTAATTTTAATTCTCCTCTTAATTCGGCCTATTTCCTTCCTTCTCTCTTTAAAATGTAGTATACAGCCCAATGTACACCCGGAATCAAAAAGGGCTACCTGTTATCACTAACTCTTTTGTTGGGCCTAGAAGGTGCTACACCCAAGAACAATCTTGCTACGAAATTGTTTGTATTTAGAGAGAAAATAAAAAATGTCATAATCAAAATAACACTATTTTATTCTGTTATTATTGTAAATTTATCTCATACTACTAATATCATGTAAGTTATTTTTTAATAACCTACAAATTATCTTTCATAATCTGCAAGTTATTTTTTTTAACCTGAATATTTTTCATAATCTGTAGGTTATTTTTTCATAACCTGCAAATATTAAAATTTTGTATAGTGACATAAATAATAGAATTGGAAAAAATAATAATTAAACTTGAAATTTTCTCTTGTATTTATGATAAAATTACATTAAAATCAAGTCTAAATAACTAACAAAATTTAATAAAAATGTAGAAGTCTAACAAAGACCTTCTTCGGTAAGCTGGCTTACCCATAAGATCAATTATGACTGTTAAATCTTATCAAAATCACAACAAATTAAAATTATATGTAGAACATACAGTTTTAATACAAATATAACGGTTAAAAAATAGAGAACTACCGGCAGTTTTTTTTTTTTTCAATCAAGAAACTCTCTTTTTTTTATATTCTATTTGAGAGTAAGGAGATTCAAAAGTCTAGAGGTCAAGACTATAGGTGGAGGTTAATATACTATTAGTTTTCATTAATTTTTTGCTACAATTTTTTTTTTATATAATTTTAAAGGAGTTCTATGATAGGTTAAAAAAAATTACACTACCACCAATTTATATACGACTCTAAACTATTGCATCGCATCAAATGA